CTTTAAGGTACAACAGTAAACCCAGGGAAAAAATTTGGAAGCAAAAAAAAATATTTTGCCAAGGGCACAGAAACAACACTCGGCAAAGTAATTCTTTGCCGAGGGCCAAATTCTGACCCTCGGCAAAACAGACGGCAGGTGAAGGCCGTTTGCCTGCCGTCACAGGTTTGCCGATGGCCATGTTTTGCCGAGAGCCGGCACTCGGCAAAGATAAACTTTTGCCAACGGCCTTTCTTTGCCGACGGCCAGACCCTCGGCAAAGGGCCCGGTTGCCGAGAGGAATTCTTTGCCGACGGCCTGGCCTTCGGCAAATATGGTTTTGCCAACGGCCTACCGTTGCCGAGGACCGACTCTCGGCAAACCTTTCTTTGCCGAGAGCCCAACATTTGGCTCTCGGCAAAGACGCTGGCTCTTGGCAACGGGCCTGTTTCCGGTAGTTCAAGCTGCCAAGCCCGGCTCTGGGCCTAGGCGGCCGGAGCGACGGCCAAGGGCCCAAGCCATTGGGGGGCCCAAAAAATTTCATGTATATGTATATGAGTATATGTTATATATGTATATTATATTGTATATACTTTGTTCAGCAGCAGGAAGGTCCAGACCTACAAGCCCATGCGGTGGCTCCTTGCAGCGAGCGGCGCGGCTACTTGTCGACACTCTCCCCGAATTGCCGCATACAGGTAACACCTCACTACTTCTACGTTTGACCATGATCTGGATTTTGAATTTTTGATCCATCTACCTCGAATTTCTCATCTACTTATATACCATTTGTAACCATGTTAGTGATGTTTCTATAAAATTCTATCCTGTTATTTACTTTCTGTCATAATTTTAGGTCTAAGCGCTATGTGTTGTCCTGAAAAGGATGTCTTGGATAACATTGATCTCGACATTGCTCTCAATGATTTTGCATCCAGAAATGCCAGAAGATATTTTTTCCAACAAGCCTTGAAGAATTATTTACTTATTTGAGGTAATCATAATAGTCATTTTATTTTTCTTTTAGTTTCTTCTATTGTATAAACATTGTGTTTTATGAACTATATATACATGCCCCTATCTACCTCATACTAGTACTAGTGTATGACTTCTCATGATCATAGAAGTGGGGAAAAAATTTAGCCTAAAGGGCCCTTGCTTTCGTATTGCCCAAGGGCCATAAAATCTATAGAGCCGGCCCTGCAAGCTGCTAAGGACCCCAACGTGACGCTGTAGAATTATCTCTGTGCAAGGACCTGGCCCGGTCACTAGCTGGGCATGACCGGAGTTCATACGTACGTGCTGCCATTGTTTTGGTTGCATTTTACTTGGGTTGGGTCAAAGTAACGTTGGGTTGGGTTGGGCAGTGCCTTTTTTTTTCAAGAACAGTGGTGTAAATTTTCTTCAGTGATTTGTCTCAACATGCATGCATATTCCAAAACAATGGAATCAAGGTATTAAAACTGAATGTGCCGCCCCTGATAAACAGCCGAGACAACCAGAAATGGATGAAAAAAACTGCTGCCGCTATTTTCTATGACGACCACCAGGAAAAACACAGCCTCTGTTGAATAAGCAATTGGCTTCTCAGAGTTCTAAACTCGCAATCACCCTGGTATGATTGTTTTATGTTTGTGCCTTTTCTAGTAAGTATGAGTGGAATTATTGAACTGCGGTTGCTTGTTATTCTTGAATGAATGATCCAATTGAATCACATCTAGTGACTACTAATGCACAACCCTTTCACCCTGTTCCAGTCTTCTTCTGATGGGTACATGGTGGCTTTCGCCGGGAAGAAATACGCAGCGAGGACATCACCGGTGTTCGTCACCAACATCTCGTACACAGTGACCGGCTTTACCCTGGTGCGCCCACGAACTGTAGAACCTTTTGCAGTTCTTCACAGTTCCTGAAAAGGGATAATTAACCTGGGTTGCATTTTTAATTCAATAGCAGATCAACTAGTGACCGGCATGCATTCGAAAAGCCAGACGATGAGCTATTTATGCTCTCCAGTAGTTAATCCAAGAGCAGCACAGCGACACGCCGAGACAGACAAATTCTTGGAAAGTTGTCTGCACGAAGGTCATTGCATTGGGTGTGTTCAGTGCACTGTGTCGACAATTCTAACGCGGCAACTACAAAATCGGTCAACATACCTCCTCGGCATTTTTCTCAGTTTTCGCTATATCCACACGTTGTACTGTTATATTGTACTATGTTCTTCTAGTTGAATTGATCTTGCCAGTTGGAGTATGCCTAATAATAAAATCCACTGCTACCTGTACATATATTTATAGGTTATTTTTATAGTAATTGGCTACTAGGAAATATTTCATTATTAATAAATGATCTACTTTCTTCTCTCAAAAAATTTATAAGAGCTTATGTGTCAGCTAGATGTAAACTTACAGTCTACTTCTCTCTCTTTCCTCTCTCTCTTAAAGCTCGCTTATGTCACTTTATTATAATTGCTCTTAGGCATTACACGGTCATGAGTTAGACAACCATGTTGATACATTATAATGGTAGCACGCATGTTTTCTTGTGTTGGACAAGGGTACGGTCAAGAGTTAGACAACCACCTTTTGTATCCTCTTCAACAAATATTGAAATAATGTCAAAAAAACAAATATTAAAAATACATATTTGAGACTTCAAAATTCAAATGAAAAGAGTTCAAACTGAAAAGCTTTAGATCTCTGTGATACTACAACTTTGAGTTAGGTGGTACCTCCATCCTAGTTCATTTGAAAAATTCAAAAAAAAAAAAGAATTCCAAGTTATGAGAACTTTAAATAAAATTTTTGATCTTTCAGTGATTTCAAATAAAAAATTTGTTAACTACAAAGTTGTAGATCTCTTCGATTACTACAGCTTTGATATAAAGGTTGTCTTATCCAACTTGAAATTTCAGAAAGTTATGAATTTACTATGGTGCACCTATTTTTAGAGGAGGCCCAAATTACCAACCGCCTAGATAAATCCATTTTAAACACGGCCAGAAGGTCTATCTGCCTCTAAAATAGACATTTTAGAGGAATTTGACTTTCCAACCATCTCTAAATTAAAATACGGGCATTTCTAAAGTAGCTTGGCTTTTCAGCCTCTAAAAATTGTTTTCTAGACGCGGCCGGCTCACAAACCGTTAAGCAGTTATTGATTGAGCCGTCTCTATGTAAAATGGAGCTAAAATTCATTTCTGTAGCAGGGATGTACTCATAATCTGGCTGCCAAAAAAAATCTATTCCTTCTAATATAAACAGTATATTTTATGAGTATCTAAGGCCTGTTTAGTAGAGTTCCACCAACTTCAGATCTACGAAAAACAGATCTAGATTCACTTTTTCAAGCCAAACACTTTTTGATCCACCGCGGATTTGCTGCACGAAAACCCTAGATCTGGAGTGTGCTCCACCAAAAACTTGAGTTTGGTGGAGTCGGGGAAAATTAACCACCACCGCCGCTCGTTACGCAGAAATAACGATTTGCGTTTTGTTCTGTTTCGCTTCTTCTCCCCTGTACTGTGTCCGCCACGACTGTCCTCACCTCCAACAACACCAGCGAGCACCACCCCCATCGCAACTGTCCTTGCCCCTTGCCCCAACCACGGCTAGCCCCCAGCAACCACAACCGGCCACCGTAGCGTGCCTGCCCCCAACTTGCGCCATGGCCGCACACGACCAGTCGTGGCCAGCTGGCCGCACCCGGCTGTGGCCAAGGACATCGCGCCCGACCATGCCCGCGCCTAGCCGCGTGGTTGCACCGCCGCGCCCAGCCATTGCTGCGCCGCCGCGCCTGACTGTGACCGCCGAGGCGGGCCTAGCCGTGGCCGCGTGCCGCGAGCCGCGCGGTTCCTGTGCCCGCCCGGGCAAGAACTGAGGAAGAAGAACCTCTTTTGTTCTTTATTTTTTTCGTTTTTCATTGTGCCCCCTGAATATGTTTTTATAATTCGTTTTTATAATTTATATATATGTTATTAATTCCCTGTTTACATATAATAAATAAACGAGCTAAAAGATACGCAGGTTGACTGGCATGGACAACAATATGGTTATCACCAGGTCAGCGCTTGCCATACCATGATCCGCACGACTCCCCCCGCCGGCACCTCTCCACGCAGCAGATGCACCAACAGAAAACAAATTGAGTGGCCGATCGATAGTGGGGATGGAGACTCTCATGAAATTAAAGCAGGTCGGAGATCTCCAATTGCGTCGTGTACACCATGCATGGACGGCGAGTATCAACATCTCGGGAGGCTCCTCCATCAGGACCGGCGGTGAAGACGGGTGAATCCGGCTGCTGCAGACTGCAATTCTTAAACCGTGGGCGATTCTTGGGTGGTTTGGCTGGTTTTCCATACATCAAGAAACTAAAGCGAACCACAGCACACAGAGCAAACCTAGCAAGGCTAAGGCTGGTGGTCGAAGCATAGGATAACTGAAGGCAGGAATTAATGCACATCGCAACGATGAACACCTTCCATTTTGCAGCTGTGCGCATGCATTCTGAATTTCTGATCCGTGCTCTTCCCTAATCCCCTTGCCCTCCGTCGGACTCTGTTGTAGACCGTAACTCTTAAACCATGGGCGATTCTTGGGTGGTTTGGCTGGTTTTCCATCCATCAAGAGACTAAAGTGAACCACAGCACAAAAGCAATGAGCAAACCCAGCAAGGCTAAGGCTGGTGGTGGTAGCACAGGATAACCGAAGGCAATTAATGGACATCACAAGGATGAACGCCTTCCATTTTGCAGCCGCACGCCTGCATTCCGATCCGCGCTCCTCCCCGATCCCCTTTCCCCTCCGTCAAGACTCCACTGCAGACCGCAATTCTTAAACCATGGGCGATTCTTGGGTGGTTTGGCTGGTTTTCCATCCATCAAGAAACTGAAGCGAACCACAGTACACAAGCGACGAGCAAACCCAGCAAGGCCAAGGCTGGTGCTTAGCTAAGCCATGTATTAATGCGAGGGAAACTCCGCATCGCAAGGATGAACACCTTCCATCTTTGCAGCCATGTGCATGCATTCTGATGCACGCTCCTCCCCCAATCCCCCTTGCCCTTGCTATAAATCCCCCCTTCCCCTCGCACTCGCTGCATTGCTCTTCTTCAATCTTCACCCGGAAATCGCCTCGCTTACTTTGCTTTTCCCTCTGTCTCTGTTGCATCCCGAAGGTTCTTGGACGGAAACCATTTCAGCAGGTAAGAAAGTTCGAGTCTTCTCGGGTTCCTTGCTGGGATTTGGTGGTCGGCGGTTGCTTTCTTGAAACTGATCTTGTTCGTTTTTTATATAGGCGAAGAGATGGACGCGGACACATTCCCAGCGGGGCTGCGCGTGCTCGCCGTCGACGACAACCGCGTCTGCCTCAAGATCCTAGAGAGGCAGCTCAAATATTGCAACTACAACGGTGTGTGTTCTTGCCTTCTTCTTAGCCGCCCCTATTTCCCCTGATTCCATTGTGATACAATTTTAGGCCAGACGATGAAATTTTTGACGGTTGGGTGATTTTGTTTTTACGGTTGGAATTCTGGTGCTGTGATGCAGTGACGGTGGTGTCGGACGCCAGGACGGCGTTGGACATGCTCAGGGAGAGGAAGGACGGGAACCAGTTCGACCTGGTGATCAGCGACGTCGTCATGCCCAACATGGACGGCTTCAAGCTCCTTGAGCTCATCGGCCTGGAGATGGATCTCCCAGTCATCAGTAAAGCCGGCCCTCGCTCAAACTCATTTTCCCATTTTTATGCATGCCATTCTTCTGATAGTGCAGACAATAGCAATCTTGAGAATTTGTAGTACTACCAATTTTTTTGGATAGATGCATTGAACGGATTGCTTATTATAACTCAATAGAGCTGCTGGTTGTGAATGTTTGGGCAGGATATCAATAAATGATACATATGCCAATCATAAATCTTGATTTTGGGGTGCATGTGTTCAGATACAATAAAGCTAATAACTGTTTGTGTTCTAGTTTTGTATGTCACCATCTGTTCCTAAGTGCTAAGTAGAATGGAGCTGGCTGCTTATTTTTGTCATTTGTAACTTCATATTCACAGTTTGTTTGTAAGCATTGCATGGAAACTAAAACTTTGTCCGTCGTTTTTGGTGTCCATTAGACCGTTACTTTTTGTTCATAAGCGCATTCATTAGCCCTATGGAAAGTAAAAATTGTTTTTATACTTGTGTGTGTATTTTTTGTATAGCCAAGTCGACCATCTAAATAGTTACATAACATTGATGTTTCCAGTTTTAGTTGCATATATGCTACGGTTTCCCTATATGTAATTAACTTTTGTTGTTTTGTCGTTTTGTGAACTACCATTGGTTTGTCAAAAAGAAAATTATTTCGCCAAAACATTCCTTCTGAAGTACTACCGTTTGGTCAAAAATATTTTTTCACATTTGACTTTGCACGGTTCTTGATGTGCATCTTTTTTCACTAAAAGGTCAACGTGTATCTTTGACCTCTAATTTGTTCTAGAATATTTCTTAAAATTCTTAAAATTCTTGAGGCTTTGCAAGTGTTTTGAATACAAATCTATACATATAACATATATATCTTAAAACTCATTAATTTAAAAGTTAATAATGTTTGTAGTTTTCGACCAAAGCTTGCCCAAAATGACATGATTTTGCGACCAGAGGGAGCATCTTTCTTTTGAAATTGTATTGTTGTTATATACTTTGCTGATGCGGTAAGCACCCTTTCCTATGTCTAATTGGTCTTGGGGTAGATTTATCATCTAAACCATATTTTTTTCCTTTCATTTTCTTGCATTTAAGAGGGGAAAAACTCACTGCGCTATGGTTCAAACCAGCCACCCCTTCTAGCCATAACTGAAGATTGTCCACTAGGTTGTGGCCTAGGGCTAATGAACTGTTTGGTTCAACAACTATAACGTAAATGGCAACGGTAATAATTCACACTCGAGTGCCAGTGGTAACAAATTTAAATAGGCCGGTATCAGTTCCCAGCGTGATATCTCATTACGGCTGGACTTAGACAAACATGATTTAACATCTTCTGTTACCCATCACATTACAAAATATGTAAACCAAACAACACGTAAGATGTAAATGCAAAGTAGGAAGCATATTAGTGAACGATTTAGAAATTCACATTTTCAGATTTCATCTAACTTTTTTTACTGCATTTGGATCGAAATTTCTGACACTTTGTGAATTTCATTAATTTCAGCTGCAAAAAGAAATTTTCAACAAACCCAAATCCAAATCGCTGAGTCAATCTAGCTTCTGAACTGTTGTTTGTAGTTCATTTGATATGCTACTTTTTGTTCGTATGTAGTAGGTGCAATCAGTAACTACTAAATGTTGTTTCGTGTAGTTTCGTGTGCTACCATTTGTTCATATTTAAGTAACAGGAGCAATCAGTCTAACAATTGAATCCTATCATTTATGTGCGGTTTCATACGTTGCCATGGATTAGTAAGCTCTAGGTGCAACCAAGATAACTTCTGAATTTGTCACCTGCAGTTTGGTTCATTATTATTGATTTTCATAATAACTAGTCGTTTCCATTAGGATTTGAACAATGCCCCATTCTAATAAATTTGTAAAGTTTCTTTTATGAAATTATTTGAAATGACAAAAGTGGAAATGATAGAGAATTGCATTTACTATGTGTATGACACATTTTCTTAAAAATGAAAGTAAACAACAAATGTAATGCCTAAAGAAAACAGAGATTGAAAAATGTGCCTAGTCAATTGAACATGAAGGCCACTAGATCATTCATTATTTAGTCTATTAAGCTTGTTGACTTCTGTATGAGATAATTGACATATGTTGCCTTATGTCATGCAGTGCTATCCGCAAACAGCGAGACGCAGACTATAATGAAAGGGATAAAGCATGGGGCATGTGATTATTTGGTAAAACCAGTGCGCCTTGAACAGCTTAGGGGCATATGGACACATGTGGTGAAGAACAGTAAGACTGATCCATGGAACAGCATCAACAGTGGCAGTGATGATGATGTTCAGAAGTTGCCATATGGAGATGGTGATAAAGGTGTGAAGGATGGAGCAAACCATAGAAACAAGTATTCAAAGAAAAACAAAATGGCTGTGGATGTTGCTGATGAGGACAACGAGAACACATCAGCCCAGAAAAAGCAAAGGGTCCAGTGGTGTGGTCAACTACACCAGAAGTTTGTAGAAGCTGTCAGTCGGATTGGCATCGACAGTAAGTTCCACTACTACAGAAAATCTTTTCCGAGGCATTGGCCTTTTAATTTCCGAGGCGGGCGGGCTGGGCGGCCACCTCCGTAGGTCTGGATTAACCATGACCTTTGGACGGAGGCGGTTGCGTTGCCCGCCTGCGTTAATCCAAAACGCACGTCTCTAATAAAGTACTGTAGTAGTGTTCTTACATTCATGGCTTTATCTAACAACAATTTTTCTGTTAAATATGTTTCTCTTAACAAATATTTTGTTGTTGTAAATGCAGGGGCTGTTCCAAAGAAGATAATAGAAATCATGAATGTGGAAGGCCTTACAAGAGAGAATGTCGCTAGTCATCTGCAGGTTTGGTTTCTACTCTTATGCTCGATCACTATGCTTGTGTTCCTATCCACTATATTATTGTTAAAGATATTTGGACAAAACTTGTTTCTTAACAAAATGTTTTTCCTATTTTGTGATTTTAGAAGTACCGAATCTATCTCAGAAAGCTCGGTGATGGCACACTGAGGAATTCCAATCCATTTGCTGTTGAAACTGAAGCATTGCGGAGAAACATGTGTGTCCCCTCCTTCATTGGCTCTCCGAGCTCAAGCAACCATTCTTCGTCTCGTTCTTGCAGCTCCTATGCAAGTATATTGCGTGGAATGATTTTGGGATCAAGCAGAGGTATTCCTTTCGAAGACATAGCAAATGATGACATGCTGGCTCCTTCTGGTCATTTACCATTGCAGTCTCCTGAGTTGGTGAAACAGCCTTCGGTTCAGCTTCAATCATGTTCTGCTGGCCGATTTAACGAGGTTGCTAGGGAAGTTCACCAATTTTCAGGGCCTAGCAACTCCTGGAAAGCTGTTGTGCCATCAAGGTTTTCTGATCTTGGTCATAATGTTGGAAAGCCTGAAGATCCTACGCAGGGTAACATTTTCAAGATCAACCAGTTGTCTAGACTCGCACACTCCTCTGGACAGATTCCAACTTTCGGAAATGAGTATCAGAAGAAAATCACAGGAATCATGGGGAAAGCCGTACCAGTGGTAGGTTTCAGAGAGCAAGTGGCACCATTTAGCTTTGGGAATGACACACACTCTACATTGACACCGATTAGGAATTCTGCTTTGGCTAGTTCTTCAAGCACTAGACCTGACCTTCAAATAGACAATTCTGCAATGCTGACCCAGGTGTTGAATGGCGGTGGTGCAAGTGACAACCACCATGATGGTAGCACCGTTAATCATCAAGCTGTTAGTGACCAAGTGAACAACATCAATGAATTCCTCATGGGAACAAGTGAGGCACAGAATGTGGAGAGTGATGACTTGGATGATTTCTTTGCTTCCTTGGTTAATCAAGTAAGATCCTTTCTCCTCCTTTTTATGCATAAAATCTGTCTCTGTCCTTATTTTCATTTTACTTCATTTCGCATTTTTGTGCAAAAGTAAATTAACACATGAGGAATTTACCTAACTAATGTCGGTTTAATTACTTCTAGTTAAATAAAAATACTTCTAGTTGTTAGTACTCGTTGCATTGCTCAAATTCATTATGCTTGTTCATGCATAACCCGACCATAAGACATGTTAAATTGCTACCTTATTTTAAATTTACCCCATCTAGACTAAGGATTTGCATGTGGAATTGATGACTACTACTTATATGATGTTTATCTAACTGAACATGTTTTCTTTTAGCAGGATTTCGTCAACAATGGTGATTCTTTGATTGACGGGGACTGGGAATTTGCCCCTTGACTCTAGAAGAGAGATGTTTCTGCATCGCCTAGCTACTGACCAGTTCATGGTTCTCGCATGTTGTATGTGCAAATTTGCACTGTTTGTAGTAGGCTAGCTAGAAGCAGGCCATCTTGGATGGAATCCCCATGTTTCTCTAGTGTAGTCATGCTGGTTCTCTTTTGTATCGTCTATAGCTTTTAACCTATGGTCTTAAGTTTGGCGGGAGGTGTGGATGTGCCACCCCTGCCAACCCCTGATCTATGTGTTCCTCTTCGGCTTGAATTTTGATGGTCATTTTTATATAAAACAACCTAGTCCCTCTTAGGGTCCTTTTTTAAGTTGTGATCATAGACAAAGTTATGTAAGATAGATCCAGTTTTCATGTATGTTTTAGCTATGTAGTGGTATGATTTTCTTGAACTATTTGAACTGTTGTATTTCATCTGTTTTTGAATCAATGAAATGCTGCTATTTCTTGAAATTAGATTGATAACCCATATCTTTTTTTATGGAACACTAGAACAGACAGAATAAGTGAGACATATAGTGCCATTGTTCATTACTATTGTCGGAGCCAAATAGAAGTAGTGCAGGACATGAAGGAACCTTCAATTCATAATTCATGTATGCCTGGTCGAATCGAACAGTTCCTGATGCTCATGACTTATTGACAGATCACCTTATGTCATCATAATTTCCTCTGTTGATAGTCTTGTGTATGAGAAAGAAAAGGTCATTTTTTTTCTTTTCAATTTTTTTTATACAAAGGCAAACAATGTTTGATTTCCTTGACTTCAACACAAACGGCGCTTCCTCATGAAGTTGTTTGCATCATATCCTGATTGTAGTGATCTGTTCATCCCTGTGATCTCAACTTGTTGTCTCCATTACTCTCGTACTAGGTGAATTCCCCCCGCGTTGTTGCGGGGATATATGTAGAGTAATTTTATATTACATTAGAAAAAAGCAAATGTATAGCACCGTACGATCATTTAGGTTCATGATGTTGAAGCGTTGTGTTTTTATAGTTAGAAATAGTGGGTAGCCATGCAAATAGCTAATGTTTCAAATATACATTGGCTGAAGTGACATCTAAATATAATTAGCTATTACAGACACTCAAACAATATTAGGCACTACATCTAAGATATTTACCCATTACACGCGCTCAAACTATATCAGGCCAATTGCAGAAATCGTTGATGCATCTTCTTCATTGACTGATTAATATATGCCAAATAGATAAATTTTTGCATCATTTCTACTTCAAACAGCAACCCACTATGATTAGTTTACTTCATTACTTGAAACTGGTTGTAGCAAGATGAAGAAACTCTGATTGAAATCCTGCACACAATTTAAGGGAACCATTTATAGATGAGGGGAGAGTGACAAAGAACTTGCCTAGTAGATGTGGGCATCGCTGTCTAGTGCATACAGGGAGCACGGTGTTTGCTTTCAGAGAATCACCGCCTGCAGTATCAGCGCGCTTCCAGTATTCCAGTGGCAGGAAAGGAAAGTGCGTGCGTGAGCTAGTGTTGTTGAAGCTGCACAATATATATGACCAGCCATTTCTCCCACCGTTTCGGCTAATCATCAATGCCATCCTCCACATTCCGCCAGTTACAATTTTGGAGGAATCCATGCTTGCGTTGGCTGCTGATTATCTTGCCATGATTAATTGAATGAGTTATTGAAAGAACAGGTGAGCAAGTGGAGAAATGGCAAAGGTATTTATGCAGCAAACCGAGACGTTGATGGGTCAGTGGGAACTATTCTCAATTCTGTGTTAGGCGAGCGGAGTGGCACCTGTTGGAGGAAGGAACGCATGCACATTATCTCAGGTCATTATGGCCAGATTTATTATTAAAATTACGGAACAGCTAGCACCCGGACGTCCAGTGCCGGGACGTGTCCGGACGCAGCTCTCCGCTTATGATTCCACCCGTCCGATGCAACCGGCCCACAATAGAAAAACGATTTGAGCGAGCATGTTTGTCCCCACGTAATGGATCACTTGCGGCGGCCCGTCCCCGCTGTGCCGCCAACCCCCACCGCGCTGCATCCCCCGCCGTGCCCCGTTCACCTCCGTACCCGTCTCTGCCACGCCCCATGTGATGAGGACATGACACCCATGCATACGACCATGTTTGGCGCATGGTATGGAGGGGTAGGAGGCCAGCAAGGGTGTCCAAGTTAAGAAGGAGGCCCGAGGCTAATTCGGTTCGAGTCCCCGAGGTGGAGGCCCAAAGCAACTCAAGTTCGAGCCTGTCTCGGAGTCCAGGAGCAGCACGTACTAAAAACGACGCCCAGGTCGCATACGGTGTCCGTTATCGACGATCCACATATGGATGGAAAGCTAATTAGATAAGGAAGCCAATACAAGTGGTCTCAAGTCAAAAGCCATTCAGAATCAACGGGAATCGTCGAAACAAGTCAGCGTCCAGAATCTGCCAGGGTGCTGCGACATCGTCTTTTGGTCCGTTGGACCGTGTATAGTGTTTGGGCCTATTAGGGGGCGCGTCCAAGGGTCTTTACACGACCCTAGAGTCTTCATAAACAGCCGCCATCCCTCCATTAGGGTTTGGGTTTTGCTTAGATTAATCTGTTAAGAACAGTTTCGCCGTTCATCGGTTTGTGAGACCCTAATATCGTGAGATTAATCATTCATCTGTAATTTAGTTGTTTTCTTTCTTGTTCTTGCTTGTGTTCTTCGTTGCGCAGGCAGGGATTAGCCTTCTTGGCGAGGTCAACCAGATCCGTGTCTCGGTTGATAACCAGAGGAGTTGTGGTGCTAAGATTGCAGGGTTCGATCTTTCGATCTGAAGCCGGATCGATGTGTCATTTTCCGCCACAACGATAGTTACCTGTACCTGACGAAAGATCGGGACCCCGTCCCCCATAAGTGGTACTCAGAGCTTCAGGTATTACCGTCAGGTTTATCACTACCCTAGTTTTGTTTTGTCTTTGTCCTATAAATCCCAAAAATTGCCCCACAAAAATATTTGTGTTAATCTTTGTTTTCTCCCTATCCTATCACAAGTTGTGCCGTTGCAATATTTTAATTTCAGTTTGCTTTATTGAACGGTCGTCCCTCGCATGTCATCGTGTTGCTGTGTTTAGGTCTCGTTCTTGGATTTCTGTTGTCATGTATTGTTTTCCTTGTGTGACGTCCATCTGATCTCCTTGGTCGTTCTAGTGTGTCGCTTTCCTCTTTTGTCCATCGTTCCCTATCTTTGATCAACAAAAGGACACGTACTGATATTTGTTTGTGGCAAGAAAGAAGAATTTTTTTCAGTACGTGTGAATTGTGATAGAGGAAACATAGTTTCTGGTGTGGGATCAAATATTAGCCACCTTTTGAGGACTGTTTCTGGACGGCAGTTCTGCATCTCCTTTCTGTTTCCATGCGTAAGATTTCAATCAAGAGTCAAAATATCTTGTGTGTTCTCTCTGGTAGATAAAAAAGAAAGAAAAGGGAAACCATTAATTAGCGGTGATAGTTTCCTTTGGAAATAATATGCGCACAAGATTTTCTATTGCCGGTTAGTCTTGATCCTTGTTGGGCATCTCCTTCGGATTTCTTGTGCCAATTGGAAAGGAAAGTTTCTATCAGGGTGTCCACACGCCCAGGCAATCTGCTCACGTTGCTCTATTGACCGAGAGTTCAGATTGTGCTACAGTGCAGCTTCTTGATATATTTATAATATCTTTTTGCGGCATTTACTGATTAAAAAAAAGCAAAAGGCAGAAGGTGCAAAAAAAGAAAAGAAAAGAAAAAGTCGCACCAAAAAAGTGAGAAAAGAAGAAAAAAAGAGCAAGAAAAAAAAAGAAAGTGAAAAAAAACAATTTAGAAGTGCTTGCATCCTTTGAGTCGTTGGGCCGAGCTCTATTGTTGATTTCTTGAACTAGGTTCGGGACGAGTTTAGGCCGGACTAGCTTGGGACTACTTTTCAATCTTGCAATTTCTGAATTAAATTATTGCTATTCCTTGCTACAATATTTTAAGCCTCCCAAGCTTCACATATATACTTCAGATCATTGCAATCTCGGTGCCACTGCCTCACAGGTATCACGAACCAGCCGTCAGTTGTACCGCCCACTGCTTGCGTTGGTAAGAACTTTGTAAGAGCTTGGTAAGACGCTTTCACTTGCTATGAAAAGTGACACCACTGCAACCACGTAGTCATTTGATAGGGATAATACTTTTGTGTTGTCTTTTGCTGTCTTCTAACAATGACAGGTTATTCGTATCCACCGACTTATGATAGTATAGGTGCTGATGAGTACATGGAGTGGAAAATTGCCATAGATAACATATTTGCTACTCGCTTTATGTGTCCAAGGAGGAAGGTAAAAAAATGCAGCTAGTGTTTTGCGACATTCTGCTTTATCTTAGTGGGAGTCTTTAGATCCTTCTGGTAAATCTCAAACTTGAAATGATATGAAATTTCTTAGCGAGAAACCTTTGTTAATCCACCTCCTATTTTGACTTCATATGCTGAGGTGCACCATTTAGAGGAAGAGTCTGTTGTTATTCCTCTTGTTATGACTAACCTTCTGCAGGATAATGTACATAAGCGAGAGGATGACATGGAAGAAAATGAGAAGCTCACAGCCTCATATGCAAATTCAGAACCCTCACTTCACAATGCACCTATTACTCCTGCTGAGAACACAGGTAATGCCCATGGTGCTACACTCACGGAAGGTGAGAATTGTTTTAATGTACTAAATTTTTCCACAAACCATGCTATCATAGAGCAATTGTTAGTGGAACCCTCTCTTGATTTATCTCTGTCCCATGATAATTTGCTTGAAGTTCCTTGTGATAAAGATGAATTGGTTGATGATGCTTCTATTTTACATGTTTTAGAACCAGTCACTTGTGCTGAAAATAAACATGTTATTCATATTGCTACTAAAACTAATGAGTTCAAACTGTTGTTTTCTTTACATACTTTGGGTTACATTGAATTTGATGTTTTGTGTAACCTAGATTGTTTGGAGGAGAGTCT